CATCCATTTACTGGTACATGCCATAATTTCATTCTTCTTTATAGCTGAGTAATATTCCACTTGTATATATACCACATTTTCTTTATCCATTTATCTGTTGAAGGCCCTTAGGTTACTTCCATAGCTTAGCTATAGTGAATTGAATTGCTGTAAACATTGATGTGGCCAAATCATTGTAGTATGCTGACTTTAAGTCCTTTGGGCACCAATTTGCAGTCCCACCAGCAACATATGAGTGTACCTTTTCCCCACATCCTCACTGATATTTTTTATTACTTGTATTCCTTATAATTGCCATTCTGACTGGAGTGAGATGAAATCTTAGAGTAGTTTTGATTTCATTTCTCTAATTACTAGAGACGTTGAACTTTTTTTATATATTTATTGAGTGATCATATTTCATCTTTTGTGAAGTGTCTCTGTTCAGTTCCTTTGCCCATTTATTGATTGGGTTATTAATTGTTTTGGTGTTAAGTTTTTTGAATTCTTTATATCCTGGAGATTAATGCTTTATCTGAGGGGTAGGTGGCAAAGATTTTTCCCTCATTCTGTAGGCTCTCTCTTGATTGTTTCCTTTGCTGACTCCCAGTTCAATGCATTCATTCATCTATTGGTGGGCACCTGGGTTGATTCCATAATTTAGCTATTGTGAATTGTGCTCCAGAAGGTATTGAGGTGGCTGTATTGCTATGCTGACTTTAGATCTTTGGGGAAAATACCAAGAAGTGGGAAAGCTAAGTGATATGATGCTATGGATGGAGGTTTCTTGAATGCCAGAGGATGTGGAAACCTGCATAAAGACATAAATGTTTATGCAGAACGGGAGGCTGTGAGCTTGCTTTCAGATAGATGGGCAGGCTTCCTTGCTTTTCCAAGTTCCTGCATGCAACCTGTGCAGTTCAAGGAATGAACACACCACTGTCATCCTCATAACCCCCAGCCCTGACTCTGGCTATGGGCGAATCTGCTCATTTCGAAGTGCTTTTTTCCTAGGAGTGTAGACCTACCTCTCAACTGCCTTCGCCTTGGCTGGCTTGAGCTTTATGTCTTCACTGCCTTCTGACCTGTTCTTCCCACTCTCCCTTGTGCTCACTGTGTTTCTGCACCTGGCCTCCTCTCCATTCCTTGAACTTGCTGACTGTGTAGCTCCCTGTGCTCTCTCTGTCTGGAACCCCATGCCTCTGGGTACATGTCACATGCTGCCTCCCTATCAGCCTGCAGATTCAGCAAGGAAGCTCCTCCGAGACCTTCCTCGTATCTCAAATGTCCATTGCTTATAGTGCCCTTCATAGCATGTTTCCCATTCTTTATTTATATTTTCATTTGCTTGCTTATTTATTTAATTCTCTCCCAGTAGTCAGTAACCTCCCCAGTACCAAGTACAGAATTTCACACCTAATATTTCCTCATAAGTATACATCAAATAAAGAGCCATAATATTGCTAAAAGAGCTAGATCGGCCCAGATTTATATGTAGCTTAAATAAATAACAAGTGTGATATTTCCATTATTAATCAAAGTACTTTTACATGACAAACAAAAATAAAAGTAATCCTAAAGATTATGCTTAACTGGACTTAGATTATGTGGTAAGAAGACATCCATTTAATGTATTAAATCATTCTGCTGTTAAAAACTTGTTGACAAGTGAAAAATACCCCGTTAAATCAAAGTGACATTGAGACTCATTTTGAGGATCATAATTTTTAAAATTTCTACATAAAGTACTTGGACATACCCATGATTGATATATAATATAGATATAAGTGCTTTAGTACCTACTTGGTTGATGTTTTCTCTTATACTTTAGTAAGCTGTTTTTAAATTTTTATACCTTACCCTTCATTGTGAACATTCACTCTTCAGCTTTTCCTATGCATTTCTTTAATGCTTAATTCATTTTTTTTGGTTGCATCTAGAATTTGATATAGCATTTCTTAAATCTTTATGAATTTATTTACTCCTCTTATATTTTAATCCAGTGATAAAGTAGCAGTTGTATGTGTGTTTTCATGTTAGGAGTTAGAATGCAGTCCACATAGCCATCCCAGGACCGAGCACCTCTACATTCCTCCCTTTTGCCCATGCTTACTGCCACACAACCTGCCAGCTCACCAGTTTGCCAACAGCAACAGTGGAATTGGAATTGCACTGTTATTTCACGCCACAGAAATGATCAAGAAAAACTAAAATCCTGCATGTTTTTCTTTACCTTGGCTCCTTTCTTTCCTTGGGGTATTTAGTGTAGAAAGCAGTCAGGTGATTTTAGTATACAAAGTGGGGAGAAAGGTTTGGGGGAGTCAGGTTTTTTTTAAATTTTCCCTGTGTTTCTGGGAATTGAACTCAGGACCGTGGACATGCTAGGATGTGTTGATAAATCTTTAAAACATACATACTCACACACACACACACACCCTTATGGTGGCTGGAGGTATAACTCAGTGGTAGAGTACTTGCCTTGCAGGCTCTGTGGCCTGGGTTTGATCCCTAGCACCCCCCCCCCCAAAAAAATCCCATCCCCCCAAATCTTCCAATCCAATATTTATCATTATCTCTGTCAGAGAAGAGAATGACTTTCAATGAGCTAGTCTCTTCACAATTACTTAATTGAATAAGTGTGAATTTTTTTACCTGCAAGCATGTAATCTTGGAAAAAAACATATACTATATTGGAGAAGAAGGCATGAATAAAAATTATAAAGTGGCCCAAAATTCCTTTGAACATTTAGTTGGTTTGCTGAGACATGAACATTATGAACTATCTCAAAATGCAGAATTTTTTTAAAAAATTGTTTCTTTTCAGTTGTACTTGACAGTAGAATTCATTTTGATAATATACAAGCATGGAATATATCTTATTCTAATTAGGACACCATTCTGTGAGTGTACACGATGGTAGGATTCACTTAGGTGTTTTCATATCTGTACGTAGGAAAATTGTTAGATTTATTTTACTGTCTTTCCTATTCCTATCCTCCTCTCTCCACATTCCATTGTGTATATATACCACATTTTCTTTATCCATTTATCTGTTGAAGGACACCTAGGTTGGCTCCATAGCTTCGCTATTGTGAAAATACAGAATCTTAAAGATTTTTTTTTTTCTTTCTTTTTTGGTACTGGGGATTGAACTCAGGGATACTCAACCACTGAGCCACATCCCCAGCCCTATTTTGTATTTTATTTAGAGATAGGGTCTTACTGAGTAGCTCAGCACCTTGCCATTGCTGAGGCTAACTTTGAGCTCATGACCTTCCTGCCTCCCCAAGCCACTGGGATTATAGGCATGCGCCACCGCGCCCAGCCAAAGATATTATTTTCTATAGAAAACATTGGACTTTATGTATGCATTTGTTTTGAGGTGGGGGAGTGGTTTTGGGAATTGAACCTAAGGGTGCTCTACCACTGAGCCCTAGCCTAGCCTGGTTTCAGTCTTTTGTTCTTCTGAACAGGGCTTCAGGGAAAAAGCTTTGTGTCTCTCATTTTGCCCATGTGTATTTGGTCAGGATAAATGGTTAAAAGGCATGGGCACTTGTCATTTTGATGGCTGATGTCCAGTTCTCTCAAGTTATGCCATTGATATTATTAGCTGCAGGGTAATAAGGGTGCCTCCCCTTCGGAACCTTACCCATCTGGTGGATGAAAATGTTTTTCAGTGTCTTTTCAGTTGGTGTGCCTGTTGTGACCAATGTTGAACATTGTTTCATATTTTAAAGGCATTGTATTTCTTTTCCTATGAGCATTCTGTTTGATCCTTGGCCTATTTCCATGCCATGTGTTGGTCTGTTTCACACTGATTACAGGAGAGTGTTGCATATTAGGACAGTCCTTGATCTGTGGTAAGATTGGAAATTATCCTTTAATTTTTTTTCTCTATGTTTTAATATCTACTAGGAATAATGCTCAGTACTCTTCTGTTTTGTAATTATCCTAATTATTTTTCCATATGAACTTGAATTTGAACTTGGGAAGAATTAAAACATCAATGACCATTATCATCATAGTCATTATTTTTAATTTGCCTGATAATGCTTTTATTGTTTTAAAAAAATTTATTATTAGATTTTCAGTAGATTTGTTAGCATGTCCTGGACAATAACATATTCTATGAATTACTGGGTTCTGAAATAGATAACACTAGAACTTTATGATCAGTCCTGAGCCTTTCTTACTTGATAAAGAATTAGTAACACAGCCACATCAATGTTTATAGCAGATCAATTCACAATAGCTAAACTGTGGAAGCAACCTAGATGCCCTTCAATAAATGAATGGATAAAGAAACTGTGGTATATATACACAATGAAATATTACTCAGCATTAAAAGAGAATGGAATTATGGCATTTGCATGTAAATGGATGGAGTTGGAGAATATCATGTTAATCGAAGTAAGCCAATCCCCCAAAACCAAACACTGAATGTTCTCTCTTATAAGTGGATGCTGATCCATAAAGGGGGTGGGGTGGGGAGGGGGGAGCATGGGAAAAATGGAGGAACTTTGATTGAACAAAGGAGAGGAAAGGTTGGGGAGGGGCATGGGGCAGGAAAAATAATAGAATGAAATGGACATCATTACCCTAAGTACATGTATGACTGGACATATGGTGTGAGGCTGCATCTTGTACAACCAGAGAAATGAAAAGTTGTGCTACAATTGTATACAATGAATCAAAATTCATTCTGCTGCATATATACCTAATTAAAATAAATTAATTAATCTAAAAGAATTAATTGCTAATCTTCACATTTTCCTATCAAAGGACAAAGAGGAAAGAATGGGAAAGGATGCAGAAATTGTTCTCTTCTGGGATAATTCCCTGTGTTTGCTATTCTAATAAGCAACATAAGTTTATATAAAGTTTCCTTTAAGTTTCCAAAATATCTTGAGTTCTTTACATGTTAGAATTTTCTAATACTGTATATAGTTCAGAGATTTATTTTTGTTAATCAAAAATTATTGGTCACATTTTAGTAAAAATTTCAATTATCTTAATTTCAGGGTGGTTTATGGTGTTTTGGAGGAAATGGACTTCCTTATGCTGAAAGTTTTGGAGAAGTTCCTTCAGCTACAGTGGAAACGTTCTGTTTAGAAGCTATAGTAAAACATTCAGAGGTAACTTGCATTTTCAAAATGTGGTTTACCTTTTATGGTTACATTGAAAAAAATTTGTAGATTAGTTCATAGAAGGGAAATAATCTTCCTTTATTCTAAAAGGTTAAAATTTTTTTCATTTGTTTTATACTTCTTATTTTCCTATTCTAATTTAGAATTAATAACCATAATTTAATACCAGTGCATGAATGTAATTTTTTGCTAGATATTTCTAAAGATTTTTAATTGTGTATAAAGCAAGCAACCCATTGTCTAAATGTGGCATTTGCCTTTGATTATGCTGTCTTCTATTGCCATTCTCTGATTTTTCACACATATCACCATATAATTTCCATTAGAATATCTGTCAGAGACTTGGAATATGGGGGCGGGAAGGAACTCTTAGATGATCATACATGTGAATTATAACTGTAGCATATAGCAATGATTTTTTAAAGTTTTTAATTTGTTTTGGTTGCAGATGGACACAATACCTTTATTTTATTTATTTATTTTTATGTGGTGCTGAGGATCGAACCCAGTGCCCCACAGGTGCTGGCAAGTGTTCCACCACTGAGCCACAACCCCAGCCCATATATCAATGATTTAAAAACTTTTTGGCATTATGGAACCTTTCTGTCATGATCACAGTTTTTGTTATTTTGTTTTCTGTTTTTGATAAGGAATATTTTTATGTTCCCAGGCTGGTCTTCAACTTGTAAGCTCAAACAATCCTCCTGCCTCAGCCTCCCAAATAGTGGGGCCTACAGGCATGATTATGGTTAAATTTAATTTAATTTTTAAAGAAGCTTTTTTTTATTATTAGAGCTTTATGGTTATACATAATCGTTGGGTTCCTAAAAATATGAAATGAGCTGGATGCGGTGGCACATGCTTGTAATCCCAGTGTCTTAGGAGGCTGAGGCAGGAGGATCATAAGTTCAAAGCCAGCCTCAGCAATGGCGAGGTACTAAGCAACTCCGGGAAACTCTGTCTCTAAATAAAATACAAAATGGGGCTGGGGATGTGGCTCAGTGGTCGAGTGCCCCCGAGTTCAATCCCTGATACTGATACCAGAAAAAAAAAAAAAAAGGAATGCTTCATGAATTTGCATGTCTTTCTTGCTCAGGGGCCATGCCAATCTTCTCTGTATGGTTCCAATTTCAGTGTTTATTTTCCCAAAGTGAGCACTGGTGGTTTAATTTTTAAAAGAATAAAGCAACAAACCTGTAATGTTCTTGTTGACTATAATGATGTGGTCAGGTCTGTTACTTTACCTATATATACACATTTCCTTTGGTTTTCTTTCTCTTTTATCTCTTTTATCCATTAAAGTTTCAAGTCCCTTTATTTTTACATGACTCCTCCCCCTCCTCTGTTTTGATACTAGACACTGATCCAGGGGTGCTTCACCACTAGGCTAAATTGCCAGTCTTTATTTATTCATTTATTTTATTTTGAGTCAGGATCTTGCTAAGTTGCTGAGGGTCTCTTTTAAGTTGCTGAGGCTGAACTCCAGCTTGTGATCCTTCTACCTCAGCTTCCCAAATTGCTGGGATTATAGGCACATTCCACACGTCAGGCTACTTGATCTTTCTCTGTAAACATGTTTTCAACTCCTGAGTTTTGGGATAGCTCCATTGCTGTGGGCATTTTGGAGAGTAGTGTATAGGTGTGCACATCTGTATGATTTGTGTTAATCGTATTTGCAAAAGCAAAATCTGTCTGCTTGCACAGAGGACTATTTCCTGTTATCAGGTGGCAGATTTCTCAAAATTAGTGAATCATTTTAAGATAGTTTCAAGCCAGAGCATCAAAATAAATTGAAACAATTTTGTATAATGACATCGTCATAGGGTTACAAACAAGAGCTAAGCATAATAACTGTAAGAATATTAGATTTTTAAATTTTTTTTTAATTTAAAAAAATGAGAATTTTAGATGCCCTAGTGAGATGTGCCTTGTTGGGAGTGTTTCAGTGATTTTGAGGTAGTAAGCAGATCAGAAGTTTGAGTAGTCTTTCTGTCACTTTGTCCTGGAGTAGGAGCCACCTGGCTCTGTCATTTTGCTGTGTCATCTTGTATAATGAATTGTGCAACATAGAGTAACCTTTCATTAATTTCCTATGCTAGATACCCACACATTGTGATAAAATCGAAGCCAGTGGAGGCTTGCAGCTGCTTCAGAGGCTGTACCAACTTCACAGGGACTGCCCGAAAGTGCAGAGAAATATAATGCGGATCATTGGAAACATGGCTTTGAATGAGCATCTTTTTTCTACTATTGTCCACTCAGGTAATGTCAGTATTATATGCTGAGTATTTTTTTTTTTTTTTTTGAGAGAGAGAGAGAGAGAGAGAGAATATGAATTTTTTAATATTTATTTTTTAGTTTTCGGCGGATACAACATCTTTGTTTGTATGTGGTGCTGAGGATCGAACCCGGGCCGCACGCATGCCAGGCGAGCGCGCTACCGCTTGAGCCACATCCCCAGCCCCTGAGTATTTTTTTGTCCAGTCCTTGGTGCTCCCATTACTTCCTCTTGTGGTACATTACTTTTTCAAGAGACTTTATGAGTCCTTAGAACATGTTATTTTGGTAAGGACAAGGAATTTCTTGAGATTACAGATAATCCACATCTAAGGTAATCAATGTACACAGTCACAGGAGAGCAGGTTTGCTATGGTGACTGTTTAATTGTTTATATAATTTTTAATGTGACTTGGTTAACCAAGAGGAATAATCAAACCAAAAGGAGGTCACTGTAGGGTAGAAAATTAGTGTATTTTCCCCCTGGCAACTAATAACCCATCCACGGGGAGCTAACTTAAGACCAGGAAAATATACTGCTCTTCGTAATTTCTGCCTGAGTCAGCCTTCACCTTGACTAGAAGATGATGATTTTCCAGGTCTAGCTGTCCTCTCCGTGTGCTTTTCAGCATTTGGCATTCTACAGGAGGGAGAGCCCTTCTTTCCCTCTCCTTCCTCCCTCCCTCCCCATCAGTTGGGCACAGGAATTCCTTTTTTTATGTTGGGGTTTGAACCAAGGAATGCTTTACCACTGAGCTATACCCCAGCATTTTTTTTTTTTAAATTTTGAACTAAGGTTTTGCTAAATTTCTAAGGCTGGTTTCAAATTTGTAGTCCTCTCCCTCAGCCTCCCTAGTATTTGGAACGACAGGTGTGCACCACTGCCTCTGGCTATTGTGAGATTTTTTTTTTTTTTTGTGGTGCTAAGGATTGAACCAGAGCCTTGTGCATGCGAGGCAAGCACTCTACCAACTAAGCTACATCCTCAGCCCTATTGTGAGATTCTTGACACTGTAATTTACATTTTCTGCTAAAGTATGTTATAGACTTTGTGATAATTGTTATTATTTGTAATAGTTGTCTTAGTTCATTTTCTGCTACTATGATAGAATACCTGAGGCTGGGTAATTTATAAAGAACAGAAATTTATTTCTCACGGTTCTGGAGACTAGAAAGTCGAAGATCAAGGTGCTGGCATTTGGTGTCTGGTGAGGGCCTTCTTGCTGCATCCTTACACAATAGAAGGTGAAAAGGGAAGGCTGCAAGGCAGTCTAACATGGCACAAAGCCCTTTTTTTAAAGGCCTTAATCCCATTTGTGAGTTTATTTGAAGGATGCTTATACCATTTGGCCTAATAATAATAATAATGCTTCTTGGACCCACTCCTGTCTAAAAACCCATGGATGTTCTTAAACATTTTGTATAAGAATATTTATTGGAGTTTTTTGTATGGGTGTGGAAAAACTGAAAATAACCTGAATGTCTGCCACTGGGAACAATGGTTACATAATCAACAGTACTCACACTGAATGCTGCATTTACAAAGAATAAAGTTTATGTATGTGCAGAGCATGCCAGGACATTGCTGAAGTACCAATACAGCCACAGAACAGGAGGGATAGTATGATTTCATGTAGGTAAAATAATGCATCAAAAGAGAGTGACATTGGTGAATGAGATGGACATCATTACTCCAGGTACATGTCCAATTGCATGAATGGTGTGACCCTACTCTGGGTACAACCAGAGAAGTAAAAAATTGTGCCCCATTTGTGTATAATGAATCAAAGCATTCTGCTGTCATGTATAACTGATTAGAACAAATAAATACATTTTTAAAAACTCAAAAAAATTTTAATACATTTTCCAGAATAAAATCATACAACTTTTATATCTTTCATTACAAACAAAGGATGACATTGTATGTGTATAAGTTACAGGCATATGATTGCTTTTTTGGGGGCGGTACTGGGAATTGAACCCAGGGGCATTTAATCACTGAGCCACATTCCCAGACTTTTTTATTTTTTATTTTTGAGACAGGACCTTGGTAAATTGTTGAGGCTGGCTTTGAATTTGCAATTGTCCTGCTTTAGCCTCCCAAGCTTCTGGGATTACAGGCGTGTGCCACTGTGCCTGGCATATGATTGAAATTTTTAAAAGTTTAGAAGGGTGTCCACCAAAGTCTTAACCTTGGTTACTTTGAGGATATAAATGGAATTGGGAAGTAATGAGAGTTACTTAATAACTGCATTAAAGCAGGACTTTCATCATTGAATACTCCTTTTAATTCTTTCTTTTTTTTTGAGGGGTGGTGGTGCTGGGGATTGAACCTAGGGCCTTGCATATGCTAGGCAAATACTCTACCACTGAGCCACATCCCCTATTTATTTACTTATTTATTTTTACATTTAATGTATTCAGTGTTATGTAGTTTAAAAACTAAATTTTCAAGAAAAAATTTCTACTCTATAGGAAAGGTAGCAGAACATGACAGTCACTAGTATGGCAATATGTAAATCAATGGATGTGTAATTGATGTGATTCTGCAAGCTGTATATGGGCTAAAAATGGGAGTTCATAACCCACTTGAAGCAAAGTGTGAAAGATGATATATCAAGAACTATGTAATGTTTTGAACAACCAACAATAAAAAAAATAAAAAAAAAAAAATAAAAAAAAATAAAATAGAAAAAAAAAAAAAAGAAAAAATTTCTAAGGTGCAGTTGATATTTTATAAGAGTGTCTCTGGCACTGTGACTGAGAAGTGCCATAGAAAAGACATGAGCCATACTTCTTGTGTAATTCTTGTGACTCCATTAAAAATAAAGCCACATTTTATACATTCCAATAATATTATCTTATGTCTCTATACATAGAATTTTAAAACAGATATTCTGTTGTTATCAATTTTTTGGCAGATTTTTGAAGAGGAATTTTCTGACATTATAAATTTGAATACTGTTAAAGACTTATAGGATCTCAAACTCCTTTTGAATTATTAAATGCCATCTTCTCCTCATCCGTCATCACACTAATTCTCAACACTGTTGTCATGGAGAGTGGGAACAGGAAATAGAACAACTGTCAGCTAGTGAGTGGCACTGGCCTGCTCAAAGGCCCAGGATTTCACACACATAAGCTAAAGCCTTCCTCCAGCTCTGTGATGCAAAATAATGTGACTGAGGTTCCACAGCACATAAGCCAAGAGCAGAGATTTAAGCCCAAGTCTTTTTGATCTCAGGGACCATGTTCTTCTTTACCTTACATGTATAAATAATATATAAATGGGTTTCATTATCAGTACTTAGAAAACTGATGTATTAGAAACATTAAACCTACCTTTTGCACACAGCCTTCTTTTACTCCAGCTCTCTCCTAAGAGGTTACAAATGTTCATGAGTTTGGTATACTGTATCTTTGCAGATCTTCATATGTTTTTGTGTGTATGTGTGTGTATACATGCACGTGAAGGTTTATTTTTTAATTTTTTGGTGGTGCTGGGGTTGGAACTAAGGTCCTCAGTAATGCTAGGCAGAAAAAAATACTCTATCTCTGAGCTACACTCACAGCCCCTATGGAGTTAAAAATAAAACAGAAACAAAAACTAAATGTAGTCATGGTGTAGAGAGTGCTGTCCATGCCTTTTCTGTTTGCCTTTGTGTGTGTGTGTGTGTGTGTGGTACTAGGGTTTCAACCCAAGGGTACTCTGTACTGAATTACATCCCCAGCCGTTTTTATTTTTTATTTTGAGGAAAGGTCTTGCTTAATTTTCCAGGCTAGACTTGAACTTGGGGTCCTCCTGCCTCCATCTCATGAGTTGCTTGGATTACAGACATGTGTCACCATGTCCTGATTCTGTTTTGCCTCCTTTTAAAAAATGAGTTTTTCTCCCAAACTCTAGATTTTACAAGATTTACATAACAAATTCATTGTTTCCTAGTTGTATGAAAACTAGTTCATATTGTTGCTGATGACAGTGAAATAAGTAATATTTACCAATTGAATTTTAGTAATTCTTACTAAAAGAAAAACACCACAGTATTTTGTCCCCTTTGGTAATCACCATTTGTTGAAATTTTCTACACAGAAAAAATGGCTATTGCATCTCTGGTTCCTTCTTTTAAATCCCTCAAAGGATCTGTGGTTGGGGTTGTCTGTGGACTCAGAGGCTCTTAGGGCAGAATGGAGCTGGAGTGGTTGGGACGGATACCAGGGTGGAGACCTCTCCTTCCAGTCTGAGATGGACTTGCCTCAGTATTTAGGAGGTCTGTTCTTTTCACCAGGCTGGGTTTCCATAATGGCAGAAGCCTTGAAATCTCCCCACATTATGGAATCCTCACATGCTGCCAGAACTCTGGCTAACCTAGACAGAGAAACTGTACAAGAGAGATACCAGGATGGCGTGTACGTGCTCCATCCCCAGTACCGGACGAGGTGAGCAAGCAGAACAGTTGCTTTATCCCCTTTGGTAACATAAAGTCAGAGGGCTTAAATTTTAAATTCTGCATAATTTAGATAAGTTAAATACTTTATAAGTAAGTCAAATACTATAGTTACTAAAGCTGTTTGTTCATAATAACCTCAGAGGAGTTGAAGGTTGTCTAAAAGCACAAAAACTATTAATTTCACAAAGGGCTTACCTTCAGTGAGGTGCTCACCTGTTAGAATGTGTGGCACTTACACTTTGGAATGTCATTTCAAGTCATTTTCATTTAGATCTGAGTTAATAACTGATTTGAATTGGAGAAGTCAGTCTGAATAGGAAGGACATTAGACGTTATTGGAGAATCTGGGCCTGGAATTCCAGGGTCTGGAGAAAGTGTGTGCTAGGTATCAAAACATGCGTGGAAAGAGTAAGTCATAATAAATTTGACTCCTTGTATTCCTTAGGTTATTGCTGGTCACTATTGCCAATTATATCCTTGCTGAGACAATAAGTATAGAAAGGATTGCAATGAAAAAAGTACATGTCTTGGATTTTCATAGGGTGCTTTGAAAAAAAACTCAGAAAATAGCTCCAAATTTTTTAATTTAAAAAGTAGATTGCCAGGTTAATTCCAATTTGCAGATAACATGATAATATATTTTGTGTATATTTTATATAATTGTGTATGTACTATAAATATTTTTCAACTAACATACCATCTATAATTTTAATATTTTAATATAGCCAAAGAAAATATCTTTGCTGTCCTTCTGATAACATTTATTTATTTTCCTTTATAAAATTTTGAAATCTCTTTAATGTATACTTTAAAAAAAATTTTTTTTTAGTTATAGATGGACACAATATCTTTATTTTATTTGTTTATTATTATTATTTGTTTTATGTGGTGCCAGGTATCAAACCCAGTGCCTCATGCAAGCTAAGCAAGTAGTCTACCACTGAGCCGCAACCCCAGCTCATGACTTATAAATGTAATTTATTTATTTATTATTATTATTTTTAAAAATGTATATAACATACGTTTTTCAGTCTTTATTTTATTTTTATGTGGTGCTGAGAATCGAACCCAGTGCCTCATGCATGCTAGGCGAGTGCGCTACCACTTGAGCCACGTCCCCAGCCCCCATAAATATAATTTATAAGGCAGCATGCTCTCTGTGTTTTTGCCAAAACTCCTAGGATTCATTCCTCATCAACCCTGTACTTATAAAACTTGATATAATGAAATTTTATTTTATGTCATGTGAAGCTGTTGAAGCACCATCCACAGAGAATGCAGTGTCATTTCTTACCATAGCAATAATACATTTATTCTGCTTTTTTTTTTTTAACTCTCTCCCCTCTTAGTCAGCCCATTAAAGCTGATGTCCTTTTTATTCATGGCCTTATGGGAGCAGCATTCAAGACCTGGCGCCAGCAGGACAGTGAACGGATTCTGATTGAAAAGGCTTTGGAAGATGAAGACAGGTACACCACATGCTGGCCCAAGGTAAAGAAGTCGCAGCTCTGTCCCCACACTAAAGCATGCTCTGTTTCCACATTGGTGTGACTGGTTTCCTTTTCTCTCTCTCTCTCTCTCTCTCTCTCTCTCTGTCTCTCATATGTACACATACACATACATACATAGATGCATACATATATATATAACTAAAATATATATATATATATAATATATATATATATACATATATATATAACTAAAATATATATATATATATATATATATATATATATATATATATATATATATATATATATATATATTTTAGTTATAGATGGACACAATACCTGTATTTTTATGTGGTGCTAAGGATTGAACCCAGTGCCTTCCACATGCAAGGTGAGCACTCTACCACTGGCCTACAACTCCAGCCCTCCTTTTCTCTTTTTATTGGGATATTTTTCCCATGCAGATCTTCTTTTCCTTATGGATACCTGTAGACTATTACATTAACAGCTGGACTTGTGACCTAAGTTGTATAATTTCTGTTTAGGATGCAGTCTGAGGCTCTGAAGGAATATTCCATACATAAAATACAGGCAAGAACAAAATAATTCAATTTCACTGAAGCATAATATGAAAATTAATAAAACCATAATTGTATTTGTAGTAGCCAATTTTTTGATCTTAATAATTATAAAACTAGAAATAGTAAGTATTTTGAGTAGAATAGTAACTCTATTTTGCATTTCTTTGATATTATTCCTTCCAAAGATCCTCAGTTCCACTAGGAATGATCTCCATGTGTGTGTGGGTCATTTCCAGGGCTTTGCTCCACTGCTTCTCACTCACTTTCACAAGACTTAGCAAGTAGAAAGAATGTTTTGCTCTCTCTGGTGACACTGAAGTCTGGAGATGACCATCAATCCAGGATCTCTAGTGACTATCATTAGTATTTTTGAATTCTTAGGTCCAAATGCTCACCGTTGGGCTATACAGTCTTTCTACTAAATCCTTTTGAAAGCCAGTTGGATCTAGACTTCAAAAACAAGCCTAGCTTTTGGCTGTAGCAGATTTAAATTGAGAATAATCTCCAACAGCACCCTTCATTGGCCTTATACTATAAATATGGATACCATTTTGTGACCAGAGATATAAAAAGATAAAGATAGTCACCTTCAAACTTTATTCAAATGTCATCTTTAATTACTCCATTGTGAGAGTCCTCTAATGATAAATTTCAATTGCTAGGAAGTAACCGAGTGTTGGAAATGCAGGCATTTTCTTATGTACCTTTCTGTTTACTTAGACGTGGTTGGCAAGAGACTGTCCTGCTCTGCGAATTATATCTGTGGAGTATGACACCACCCTTAGTGACTGGAGAGCTGGGTGCCCTGCAGAAAGGTAACTTTGTGGGGGACGTTTAGACTGGAAGGATGGGGAAGGGCTCAGGCTACAAGTGGGTCCTTTGGGATGGGAAGTGATTTTTCTTTTGATGACACAGCAGGGCAGGATTTTTTCTCTTTTTTCTTTCTTTCTTTTCTTTTCTTTTTTTTTTTTTTTTTTTGTGGTGCTGGAGATTAAACCCATATGCTCTACCACATGCCTAACCAGGATTTTCTTATGAAAACTAACCTTTTTCTTTTCTTTTGGAAGAAATTATCTATAAACAAACAGTGAAGTAGAAGGCTAAGGTGTATTATCAATGTTGGGCTCCTAACCTGGTTCATTTACAACTCGTACAATAGTGAAGGACCATGGTGGATTCCATAGGAAAACCTCCATTCGTTTTAGAAGTAAAAGTGATATTCTTTTGCTTTGTGTTCACAATTATACCAGCTAGAGGAAGCACAGAAAAAGATGTGAGCCATTTTGGCTCCTGTGTACCATTTATGCCCCATAGGCCAGTTGAGTTCATAGGAAGGGGCACTAGGTTCCTGGGTTATGGGACATGGATTGTAGCCTGATCCTACCTTTGATATGCTGTGCTTTCTCAGGCAAGTCACTTAGCATGTCTGGGAAGCTTTGTTTACAGATTAAGAGAGTGGTCTAACCAGTGTTATCAAACTGTGCTTTGTGAATGGACCCCATGTAGGTGCCCAAAAAGGGAGGGAGGCAAGTGAGCAGGACCCAGGTTTCCCTCCTGTTTTCCCTTGAGGGGCTCTGGGGGAACCTTTGCTTTGAATAAAGGTGTCTACAGATAAGAAACTATCAGACTGGATAGTTTTGAAGTTATCTTTTTGTTTAAACATTACTTATTTTTAATTCTCTGAAACAGTTTCCTAGCATTTCTAAATAATTAAAATGATGAAAACTTAATATTTAAAGGAAAAAAATTGGGGAGTGATACTGGGGATTGAACTCAGAGGTGGTTCTACCACCAAGCTACATCTCCAATCCTTCTTATTTTTTATTTTGAGATAGGGTCTTGCTAAGTTGCCAAGGCTAGCTTGAACTTGCAGTCCTTCTGCCTCAGCTTCCCCAGTCACTGGAATTATAGGCATGAACTACCACGCCTAGCTTGAAAGCTCCAATTTGTGGCATAAATACAAGTGGAATTGAAACTCAGAAAAGAGAGAACCAAATCTCTAGGGACACTTTCATTATTGGGCTATGGAATGGGAAGGGACACATATCCTAAGTGCTGGGGGCAGCCAGGTTTGACCTGGAAAAATTAGATGCTCAAGTGATGTTCACCTAGTGTATGAATGACCTCTCTGGGCTTAAATAATCCTAATTATGCTAATAAGTTTGAAGAAGAAAGTGAGCAATATCAGAAGTGGAGCAGAGAGAGAGGAGGTATTCCTCACTCTTCAGGGCGGTAGCATGTAGCATTCATTCAGCAGACAAAAGTTCTCAGCTTAAAAATTAGATAGCAAGATTCAGGGGATAGAGGCCTCCTGTCATGCCTGCTGTTTTCGTTTTGTTCAGAAAGACCATTGCATTCAGAAGCAACGAACTCCTTTCGAAGCTCAGAGCTGCTGGTGTTGGGGATAGGCCAATGATTTGGATTTCACATAGCATGGGAGGTAAGGATGATTTTATCTTCACAGAGTGACCGTTGTGAGGTTGTCACCATTGCAGCTAGCCTAAATTCCTGTATCTCTCTGCTGTACTTACCAGTGGCCCCTTTCTCCCCAGGTTAATGTCTTTGGCTATGGCTTGGAGTTTTAAAATTAGCACTCTCCTTCCATGCTATTCGTTTTCCCAGAAGGTGGCAACTAGTAACAAAACATACAAGAGGGCATGGGGGTGACTACCTGAAACTTCCATGTCTTGGGAGTAAGTAAACATTACACCCAGGGATGCTGACAAGTTGGGCTTACATAGCTAGCTTTCCTGGCTTCCCAGGGGCTCCCCTTGCTTTTTCCCTGCGCTTCCTCACCATTACGGACTCCATCGTTGCTTTAATGTTCAGAGCTGCCACGGAGGTGTGCTCCTGGCCCCTGTGTCCCTGCAGCTGTGCTTTGGGGCCTAGTGCTGCTTCTCTAGTCACATGTGCACCTCCTCCCACCCACTATCCCCCATCCAGCTCTCAGTTTTCATCATCTGCCTTTCAGAGATGAGCTTTCTGCAACCCCTGACCTGGTTTATCTGATGAAATGCTCAAAATAGCTGATCCTGAGTTGGGCCTTTTTGCTGAGAGAGAGGTCCAGATAGCCTTTGGTGTCCCTCAGAGACCCACTGCCACCAGCTTTGAGATCCCACAGCAGCTTTTCCCAAGCTTGGTGGGACCATGACTGTGTATTAGTATCTTCCTGGGTGTAGGCTGCCCTAGCAGAAGGGAGGCCAGTTGTGCAGCAGTGGGTGCCCAGCTCAGACAGTGCCTCACCCACCCTCCTGTAGGACAGCCGATCCTGTGATGGGAGGATCTGTCCTGCAAAGTAGGCTCTTACCTATTTGTGGTCTGTACTGCAAATTCTAGAGAATCAGGAGTATTAATATTTAAGGAATTTAAGGCCCTGTTTCTTGTACTATAGAAAATTGTTCAAACTTTCTTTTTTAAGAGACTACACCTCTCTTTCTGTATTTGTTTTGCCTCCCCTTCTTCTTCTTTCTTTAAAGAATAACAGGGAAGGAAAATAGCTTACACTTATGTTTTTCTTTCTTCTCTGTGGCCAGGTCTTCTTGTCAAAAAGATGCTGTTGGAAGCCTCTCAGAAGCCAGAGATGAGTCCTGTTATAAGCAATACCAGAGGAATAATTTTTTACAGTGTTCCTCATCATGGATCACATTTGGCTGAATATTCTGTTAATATTCGCTATCTTCTCTTTCCCTCTTTGGAAGTCAAAGAACTCAGCAAGGGTAATGCTTTCTGTTGAGCAGGAACTTGGGATTGTATTAACATGATACAGGAGAAAGGAAAAAAAAAAAAACCAGTTTCTTCCTTGACTGTATTATCTCATTTTATTGTTTGTATATGTATATATTGTCTTTAGGCTGTCGATGGAAAATTTTAGCTTGGACTTGATGTTTTTCTTTTACACCTTCTCTTTTTGTTCTTATGCCATTATTTACTCAAATATAGCCAAAAATTTAATATTATTATAAGTACTTAAATTAGAAAAATTATATAATGCTTTGCTTTAAGTATTATTCCAAATTATTAGTAAATTGCTTTTTCCCATGAATTTGGAATATCATCAACTGTTAAAGTATAAATGAACTTTTGGGATTTTTACATATGGATTATAAAGCACTCTATTTGTTTTGATTAATAAGCACTTTTTTTTTTTTTTTTTTTTGTATCAGGGATTGATCTCAGGGGCACTTGGTCACTGAACCACATCCCCAGCCCTATTTTGTATCTTATTTAGAGACAGGGTCTCACTGAGTTGCTTAGAGCCTCACTTTTGCTGATGCTGGCTTTGAACTCGTGATCCTCCTGCCTCAGCCTCCTGAACTGCTGGGATTACAGGTGTGTGCCACTGTGCCTGGCAATAAGCACTTTCTTTCTGGACATACATACCCAGAAGTGGAATTGCTGGACCATATGGTCATCAGAATTTGGACTCCCTGAATTCTACTTTAATGTGCCAGTTGTCTTTTTGTTCATATTTTATCTTTGGTCTGCTTGATTCATATTGCCTACTACACCTTCTGTTGAAATTTTAATTTTTTTTTTTTTCAAACTGAGACATAATATTTGTACATCTTTATGGGGTATGTTGTGGTAATTCAGTACTTGGATATAATTTATAATAATCAAATCAGTGTAATAAGCATTTCCATCTCTTCAAACATCATTTTCATGTGTGGGAAGTTTTATAGTTTTCTAGTCATTTTTAAATGTACCATCTATGGTTTCAATCAAGTTACCCTGCTATGCTATAGGAAAACCAGAACGAATTCCTCCTGGGTTGTGGTGTCTCTTATTGAACTGCTTTCAGCTTCTCACCCCATGCCCTGTCTAGTCTCTAGAACTAAGCACTATTCCATTCTGTTCTACAATATTGACTTATTAGTTCCAGAAATGAGTGAGCACATGTGGTTTTTTTTTTTTTTTTGGTGTCTTAATATAATTATTTCACTTAATATAATGATCTCACTTCTGTTTATGCTGCTGCAAATAACAGGATTCCTTTATGTTTTTTTATGACAAACTGCTATGCTATTTTCCATTCTTCCACTGATGGACCACCAGGTTGATTCTAGGCTTCAGCTCTTGTGGATAGTGTTGCAAGTAGACATGAGAGTACAGGTGTCTTTTTTGGTATGAGTTCATCTCCTTTGGATATATACACCTAATACTGGAATTGCTGCACCATGTGATAGTCCTAGTTTTTTGAGGAATCTTTATGCTGTTTTCCATAATGCCTGTGTTAATTTACATTCTTTTTTTTTTTTTTAAAGAGAGAGTGAGAGGGAGAGAGAGAGAGAATTTTTAATATTTATTTTTTAGTTTTTGGCGGACACAACATCTTTGTTTGTATGTGGTGCTGAGGATCGAACCCGGGCCGCACGCATGCCAGACGAGCGCGCTACCACTTGAGCCACATCCCCAGCCCAATTTACATTCTTACCAACAGTAAGAGTCTCCTTTTTCTACAGCCTTGTCAACATTTGTTCTTTGTCTTTGGTGATGGCCATTCTGGCTGGAGTGAGGTGCTCTCTCACTATGCTTTCTTTTTTTTTTTTTTGGCGCCGGTGGTGTGTGTGTGTGGGTGTTTACCAGGGATTGAATTCAGGGGCACTAGACCACTGGGCCACATCCCCAGCCGAATTTTGTATTTTATTTAGAGACAGGGTCACACTGAGTTGCTTAGTGCCTCACTTTTGCTGAAGCTAGCTTTGAACTCACAGTCTTCCTGCCTCAGACTCCCAAGTGCTGGGATTTCAGGCTGTGGGCCACTTCTCACAGTACCTTGATCTGTTTCCCTGATGATCATTGAGGTTGAGCATTTTTCATATGGTCTGTTGGCCATTAGTATGTCCTCTTTTGACAAGTGTCTATGTAGGTCTTTTAGCTTATTTTTAAAATAGTTTTGTTTCTTGGTGTTCAGCTTTTAAGTTCCTTACATATTCTGGATATTAATCCTTTGTTGAGTTAATAGTTTTCAAATATTTCCTCCTATTCTGTAGGTTGCCTCTTAAGTCTGTTGATTGTTTCCTTTGCTGAGTTTCTTAGTTTGATATACTCCCATTTGTCTTTTTTTACTTTTGTTGCCTATGCCTTTGGGGTTCTACCTAAAAAATAATTGCCTATGACTTTCTTCACAGAAATTAGAAAGAACAACCCTTAAAGTCATATGGAAGTCTTGAAGGGTTTCCCATTTCTTGTACTCATTTCATAGTTTCAGATTTCACATTTAGGTCTTTGATCCATTTTGAGTTGATTTTTGTGTATGGTGACAGAAAGGGACCTGGTTTCATTCTGTTATGTGAATAGCCAATTTTTCCAGCATCATTTACTGAAGAGACTGTCTTCTCCAGGGTGTGTTTTTGGCAGCATAAGGACATGGATTAATTTCTGGGTTCTTTATTTGGATCCATGCATCTACATGTCTGTCTTTATGCCAGTACCATGCTGTTTTGGTTACTATAATTTTGTGGTATGTTTTTGAAGTTCGGTATTGTGATGTTTCAGCTTCTTTTGTTTTGTTTTAGAATTGCTTTGACTATTTTGGGTCTTTCATGTTTCCATAGGACTTTTAGGATTGTTTTTTCTAATTTTTGTGAAGAAAGTTACTGGTATTTTGATGGTAATTACATTTCATCTGTAGATTGCTTTGTACCATATGGTCATTTTAGTAATATTAGTATTTCCAAAAATGAATGTGGTATATTTTTGATTTTTTGTGTGAGTCCTCTATAATTTTTCAGTGTTTTATAATTTTCATTTTAGAAATCTTTCACTTCTTTGGTTAAATTTATTTCTAAATATTTTATTTTTGTAGCTATTGTGAATGGAATTGCTTTCTTAATTTCTTTTTCAGCAGGTTCATTATTAGTTTATAAAAATGCTGGGTTTTTTTATGTGTTGTAGCCTGCAATTTTACTGAATTTATTTATAAGTTTTAACAGCCTTTTGACAGATAATTTTGGTTTTTCTATGTATAAATACATGAAAATTTTTCTTCCTATTTTGGATTCTCTTTATTTCCTATTCTTGTCTAATTGCTCTTGCTAAGACTTCCAGAACTGTTAAATAACCATGGTGAAAGTGGACACCCTTGTTTTGTTCTAGATCTTGGAAGGTATCTTGTCAGTTTTCCCTGTTTAGAATGACATTGACTGTAGATTTTTCATATATAGCCTTTAGTATTTTGAGGTATGTTCCTTTTATACTTAATTTTTTGTGAGTTTTTATCATGAAGGGATGTTGAATCTTATGTTTTTTTAGTATCTATGAAATATCGTGTGATTTTTGTCCTTTGATCGGTTGATGCATTATATTTATTGATTTTCATATGTGGAAACATCCGTTAATTACTGGGATGAACCCCACTTGATCAGGGTATATGATCTTTTTGTTGTTCTTTCAAATTTGGTTTGCTGGTATTTTATTGAGAATTTTTACATCTATGTTCATCAAGGACATGGGTTCATAGTTTTCTTTTTTTGTTGTTATTGTTTTATCCATTATGGTTTCAATCTGAAATGTCCTTCAAAAGCTTATGTGTTAAAGGTTGATCCCCACTGCAATGGTATTCACAGGTAGGGCCGTTGGGAGGTGATTGGATCATGAGAGTTTTAACTCATCAGTAGACTGATCTATTGATGGACTGGGAGGTGGTGGAAACTTAGGAGGTGGGGCCTAGTTGGAGGAAGCAGGTCATTGCTAATGTGCCTTGAAGGCTATATCTTGTCCCCAGGCTTCCCTCACACCCCTTTGTTTCTCAACCATGAAGGTAAGCAACTATGCTCTACCACATGCTCTCACCATCATGTTCTGCATCACCACATGCCCAGAAACAACAAAGCCATGAGCCAAAATATATCTTTCTTTCTCTAAGTTGATATCCTTAGGTGTTTTGTCACAGTGATGGAAAGCTGACAGTTATCTTGTCTGGGTAATGCTAACTTCATATAAAGAGTTTGGTAGAGTGCCTTCCATTTCAGTTTTTTGAAATAGTTTAAGAACTGAAATTTGTTTTTCTTTAAATATTTTGTAGAATTCAGCAGTAAAGTCATCAGGCTGTGGACTCTTTTTAGATGAGAAATTTTAAATTACTGCTTCAATCTCATTACTCATTTTCAGTTGGTTTGGCTCTTCTATTTCTTTTTGATTCAGTTTTGGTAGGTTGTATGTGTTTATGAATGTATCCATTTCTTTTACGTTTTCTAAATTTTTAGCATATAATTATTCATAGTAGTTTATTATGATCCTTTATATTTTTGTGGTATCATTTGCAATGCATCTTTTTTTTAATCTCTGATTTTATTTGGGTCATCTCTCATTCTTTCTTGATTAGTCTAGCTAAAGTAAAAAACAATCATTTTTTTGGTTTTTTTTTAGTTTTGATTTTATTTATGCTCTGATATTTATTATTTCTTTCATTAATATGGGATTTAATTTGTTCTTGCTTTTCTAAGTCCTTGGGATGCATTATTAGGTTGAGATCTAATTTTTAACAATGGATGCATATTAACTGCTATAAACTTCCCTCTCAGTACTGCTGTTTTTGCTGTATCCCATAGATTTTGATGTGTTGCTATTTTCTCTCCCCATAGATCTAATAATATTTGCTTTATATATTTGGTGGTCCATGTTGGGTTCTTATATATTTATAATTGTTACATCTTCTTGCTGAACCGATCCTTTTTCAATATGTAACTTTGTCTCTTTATAAAGTCTGCTTTGTCTGAGTATAGCTATTCCAGCTTTTTTTAGTTTCCATTTGCATAATACATCTTAAACACTTTACTTTTAGTCTGCATGAAGTAAGTTTTTTGTAGGCAGCATATAGTTGCATCATTTTAAAAAATTTTTATTCATTCAATATCTTTTCATTGGTGAATTTAATTCATTTATATTCAATGTTATTATTGATAGGTACAAACTTCCTCCTGCCATTGTGGTAACTGTATTGTTTCTTTTGTATACATTTTTTCTTTCTTACCATGCTTATTTATTTTTGTGATTTGGTAGCTTTATTTCATGCAAAGGTTTGAATTTATTCTCTTTTTCTTTTATATCTTTGTTCTTCTAGTAAGTTCTGTATATTCTTTTGTCTTCATTGCTGGTGGTTATGGGATTCCCTTAAGTTATTTCTTATAGAGCTGGTCTAGTGGTGATAAATTCTCTGTTTCTGCTTACTTGGAAAACACTTCATTTTTACTTCATTTTTGAAGCATGATTTTTGCTGGCTGAAGTATTCTTGATTGGCAGGTTTTTTTTAATTTTAGTATTTTGAATATCATCCTATTCTCTCGCTGCCTTAAGGTTTCTGCTGAGAAATCTGTAAATCTAATGAGTATTCTCTTAAATGTGATTTGACATTGTTCTATTGTTTTGGGGATTCTTGTCTTGTATTTTTGACATTTTAACTATAATATGCCTTGGTGAAGATCTATTTTATATGCATCTAGGAGGGGTCCTTTGAGCTTCTAGTATCTGGATGTTGATATCTCTTTGAAGATTTGGAAAGTTTTGGGCCATTTCATGACATGGATTTTCAATGCCTTTCCTTTTTCCTTTAACTTCTGGATTTCTCATAATGCAAATGTTTGTTCACTTAATAATGTCCCATAATTCTTTTAGGTCTTCTGCATTGTTCTTTTTCTTCCTTCCTTTCCTTTCCTTTTGTCTGACTGGGTTAATCCAAAAGATCAGGCCCCAGGAGCAATTATGATTGGGTGCTGAGGTTTGTAGCACTATTAGCTGCTTTTATGGAGCTGTGAACCCAGATGATATTTTCTCCAGGTCTGAGGGAACAAGCACAAGTGTAACCAGGGCTTTTGGCACTAGCAACTATGGTCCTATGTCTGTGGTTTGTGGAGGAGACCTTTCCTAAGTCACCCAGGGCATGTGTATGTAACATTTGGGCTCATGGTGCTATAATCCACATTCTTTAAGTTGGACATGGAGGAGATCTTTGCTAGGTCCTGTGAGCTAAGCACAAGTCATGCTAGGGCTATGGCTTTGGAATCTGTGGTCCTAGAATGACATGGATAGGAATGTCTCTAGATCAGGCAGGGCAAACTCTGGTGGGAATGAGGCTTGTAGCATTAGCCACAGTCCTAGAACTGCAGAATATGAAAAAGACTTTCCCCCTGTTCCCCAGAGATAAACCTGGGTGATGCCAGTGCTTTTTCGTACCAGTGATCACATTTCCACAAGCATCAGCTAGGAAGACCTTCCTTAGTTATTGCTGGGTCAGTGTAAGTGATGCTGGGGATTGAAGATGCTGGTAGTGTGTTACTGGATTTGTGGGATGCAGTTTTGTGGAGCCTGTTCTCTGGAAGCTGGGACTTTGTACCAGCAGCTGCAGCATCAAAGCTTTGGGCTGGGGAAGAGATCTTCTGTAGTTCCTGTAAGGAAAGTGTGGATAGGACTTGGGCTTGTAGCTATGAGAGATGCTGGATCTGATGCTACAAGACACTGAGGGGACTGTTTTCTGCCTAGTAAAGCATGCACTGGCCCACGCTTTGCCCCTAAGGCAAGATGGCATCTAGTTGAAGCTATAGTAGTAGCTTGGGTTCATGGGTTGGGGAAGCCCAAAGTGGGTTCCTTCATTGGAGCAGAACAATTACTCATGGACCAGCTTTAATTTCAAGACTGTAGAATTCTGCACTTAGGAGTGCTTGAGGCTGGGGTGGTGGCTCAGTGATAGAGTGCTAGCTAACCTAGTGGGGCACTGGGTTCAATTCTCAGCACCACCTATTAATTAATTAATTAAAGGTCCAACAACATCTTAAAAAAGATTAAATGCAAAAAGAACAATTTTGGGCTGAGGATATAGCTCAGTTGGTAGAGTGCTTGCCTCGCATGCATAAGGCCCTGGGTTGAAGGACTGCTGGACTTTCCCACTTACCTTTCCCTGCTGTGTGGGGATATCCCCGCTTCAGGGAGGTAGAATTTGCAATTTCCTTTGTTGTTGTCTTTGTTTCCTTTGTTGTTTTATTCCTGCTGTTTGGGGATCCTGATGCTTCTTTGCTGATTTTTTCTTTCCCTTGATCCTTTGTTGATGCTTCTCTGTGCCAGAGTCACACACAGGACATTACTTTTTTTTTTTTTTTAATTTTTTAGTTGTAGATGGACACAATACCTTTATTTTGTTTATTCATTTATTTTTTTATGTGGTGCTGATGATCAAACCCAGTGCCTCACAGTGCAAGCACTCTATCACTGAGCCACAACCCCAGACCCTAAAATTTTACTTTTTTGAAGTCAAACTTTTAAAAGAACAAGTTTGTTCTTGTTCTCCAGTTCTTTATTTGTATTATCCTCTTGCTTTGTGATTCCATTATTTCTTTTTAATATATTTTTTTAGTTGTAGATGGACACAATATCTTTATTTTTTATATATTTTTTTAGTTGTAGTTGGATACAGTACCTTTATTTATTTTTATGTGGTTCTGAAGATCGAACCCAGCGCCTCACATGTGCTAGGCGAGCACTCTACCACTGAGCCACAACCCCAGCCCACATCTTTATTTTTATTTATTTTTACATGGTGCTGAGGATCGAACCCAAGGTCTCACACATACGAGGAAGCGCTCGACCACTGAGCTATAATCCCAGCCCTGGTTTCATTATTTTTAGAGTGTTCTTCAACATTCTTGTTTTCCATTTGACTCCGTTTTGTTTTTTTTTTTCCTGTGGTTAGCTTTCCTGTCTGCTTATCTTTTCTGTGTCTTTGAGGTTGTAAGCTTCTAATATCTGGTACTTCTTAGCTGCCCTCTCATGTTTGAGGACAAGGGGCTGAGATAGGCTAAATCAGGCAGGCTTTGTTGCTGGGGGGCTGTGTATTAGTGGGGTGGGGTGCCAGCCATCACCCTGGGGGCCCTGGACTGTCCCATGCACCAAACTGCTCTAGCTACTGCTTCCTGTCAGCCAGTAATATGTTGAATCTTCCTTTGATGGTTGTCCTCTCTGTTCTTAGGGGGCTTCAGCCTTTGAATTTTACTGGCTTCTTTCCAGGAGAAAAAATAAACGTGTGTAGGATCAGAATCCTGACACCCTGTCTGAATTAGAAAGATTATTGTATTCTGAATTGGGTGAACAGAACTTGTCACAATCTTGTTTTTTTATAATTCTACAGATTCTCCTGCACTTAAAACACTACAGGATGACTTTCTGGAGTTTGCTAAAGACAAAAGCTTCCAGGTGCTAAGTTTTGTAGAAACACAACCAACCTATATTGGTAGCATGATTAAACTCCATGTGGTACCCGTGGAATCAGCAGGTATTCATTTACTCTTTTTGAAACTTTCTATTAGATGCCTTGGTGGTGGTGCCAGCATTTCATTGAAAATATCATTTTTGACATCTATATTCTCAGTTTTAGGAGATGGATTTATAAAGATCTAGAATCTAATTCTAGTGTTCTTTTTAGCCATCGATTAAAATTTCTTTGCAAACATATAGCTTTAACATTCCCACCCCCCACCTTTATTTAACTGATGAGTTGACAAAGGATAATTGTCTAACTCTAAATTAGGCATCGACAGAATTGTATGGCATTAAGATATAAGAATACCAGGGGCTGGGGTTGTGGCTCAGTGGCAGAGTGCTTGCCTCGCACATAAGAGGCACGGGGTTCGATCCTCAGCACCACATAAAAATAAGTAAATATAAATAAAGGTATTTTATCCATCTACAACTAAAAAAATATATATATAAAATAATGATACCAGGGTTTTCCATCAGCTAGATTAAAAGGGGGTATTTATTCAACCGATGGATAGCTGAATGTAGAAACCTTAAAAATATATATAGGGTTGACAGAGTGAAAGCTTTAGTATGTGGGGAATATTGAAACAGGAAATAGTCCATCAGAAAAAGATAGTATTAAACTACTGTTTCTTCATGATCCTAGCGGGGAGGGAAATGCCTAATACCTGCTACTATTGTGTTTTATGATGTCTTATTGGGTCCTAGAGGGTAGAGCTCAGATCTTACCCATTACTCTGCATCATAGATCCTCCATTTGTCTCACTCCCTGAATGCTGTCCCCCCTCTGGGGCCACTTCCTAGGCTTGCTTGTCAACTTGGAACCTATCTTGATCACTTCTGAGGGTGGCTTGGGTGCTGCCCTGGCAGTACTCAGCCATGTCATGAGCACTTTGTGGCTAGGGACAGTGTGCACCTGGTGTGCTTGCCAGATGATTTCTCAGTGTATATAATGAGTTCTATCTTTACCTCGTTATATACTAAGTAAAACGAAAAATATTTAATACTTTATAGCAATACTTTTTTATGTCAAAATAATATGCCACAGGATGAGGGGTTACTCTTTAGTTATTTAAAGAGGTCAAAGACTACCAGATGTCTAAAAAAAGAACTTTGGAAGTTGAAAGCAAAAGCAAAGCTACCACAGACCAGCTGCTTTTGGTGTCAAGCTGTATCACACTTCTGCTGCCCCCTTTTGCCATATCACCAGGCTTTTTCCTCCCTCCTGCCGCTTGCATTTCTCCCCTCAGTGGCTGCACTGGTGTCTCACATTACTTCCATCCAGGTGGACATTGTCAGACTGAAATATCAGAAGCTTTTCCAGGTCTCTCATAGTCAAGCCTAAACTACCCTACTCATGGAGTGATCACAGGGATAGAGTGGGTCCTGTGCAAGATAGGCATTCTTTTCCCAAGGACAAAGGAGCTCATTGTGGGGGTTGTGTCAATGTGTGTTATTATTTAATAATAACCTGTAGGTGTAGGAAGGTTTGCATCATGCTGGTACTTGGGCTCTCCTGGCTGTTAAATTAGGAAGAAGGCCAGCACACATGTGAAGACTCCATGGAAACCATTAAATTAGAAGATCTATTCTCAAATGTGATGAGTCAAGGTGGTTTAGTTGCTTTCAGACTCCAAGCTCCTTTATATATTGGGCCCTTAATCACAACCAAACCATTGACCTCTTTCCGATTTGATAAGGGGGAAGCTTTTGTTTATTGACATTTTGTTTTCTTCAGATTTAGGCATTGGAGAGCTAATTCCTGTGGATGTTAACCATTTGAACATTTGTAAGCCAAAGAAAAAGGAAGCCTTTTTGTACCAACGCACTTTGCAGTTCATCCGCGAAACTTTAGCCAAAGACCTTGAAAAGTAACAACTGTCATGCTCCATTTTCTTTTGTGAACACAGTTCAAGAAAGCTGCTGTTCTTTTTAAGCAATCATGCAGACATTGTCATGATGGCACCAGCATGGTCTGGAGTGTGGTGCAGACATCAGAATGCAGCTGTCCACTCAAGCACTGGAAGGCTCTACACAGAAGTGGCACTCACAGGAGCAGCAGCAAGGTTGGGATCCTCTGACTTAAAGCCCTCTTGTGCCACTTTGTGGGTCACAGTGCTGGGCCTAGTGACTGGGAGTAACACTGCTGTGGCTGGAGAGGGCTGTTTCATCTGTGACTGTCCTGGCTCACCTAGGAGCCCTGGCGGGTTCTGAAGGAAGATCTGTGGATAGCTCAGCTTACCATACAAATGCTATGAGGGAAGTGGAGAGAAGAATGAAGTAGAACATGACGTTTTGTTCTGGATATCTGTGCTATAAATTTTTTAAAATGTCAGTTTTGGAAACTTTTAGTTTTTAACTTCCAGTTCAATCTTGTCTAACATCATGGTGTTAACTTCACTAGGCCTCTTATCAGTTCCTTGTTTCCATTTTCATATTGCTGAGAAAAAGCCCTTTATAATAAAAACTCTAGCTCATAGTAATTCTTCCCAGGCTGTAGCAACCTACGCTTGTAATGTGTCCCAGGTAAGGATAAAGGGGCTAATCCATTACTGATCACAGATAAACTATTCTAAGCCGTTATATAAATAGCTCACGGTGTCAAGATTCTCAGATGCTCTTTGGCTAAATAAAGTATACCTTTCATGTTCACTCAGAAGTAGTATTAATTGACCTTCAGCCTGTGACAAAGAGGAAGTCATGTTGATGGACTTTTTTTTTCCTTTTGAATGACAGCATTAAGAAAAAAATAACTTTTTGAGCTGGACACGGTGGTGTACGCCTGTAATCCCAGCATCTTGGGAGGCTGAGACAGAAGGATCACAAATTCAAAGCCAGCCTCAGAAAAAGGAAAGCACTAAAAAACTCAGTGAGACCTTCTCTAAATAAAATACAAAGTAGGACTGGGGATGTGGCTCAATGGTTGAGTGCCCCTGAGTTCAATCCATGGAACAGCTCCCCCACCCCCGCCCAAAATTAGCCTTTTGAAACGTACAGTTCTTTGGTTGTTAGTATATTCTGAGTTGTACAGCCAACTTTCTTAATTTCAGAACATTTCTGCATCCTGAAAAGAATCCCTGTCATCAGCCGTCATTTCCCACCACTTGTCCCAGTCCCTGGTAAATATTAATGTACATTCTATCTCTGTGGATTTGCCTATTCTGGACATTTCATATAAACAAAATCATATATGTGTCTCCCTTGTTACTCTTAGCATAGTGTTTTCAAGGTTTATATGTGATATAGCATTTATAAGTATTCTTTTTTTTTGAGCAAATATCTATGATATGCCACATTTGTCCTTTTATTAGTTGATAGATGTCTAGGTTCTGTCCATTTTTTTCTTTTTTGGCTATTTTAAATAATACTGCTGTGATCATTTTTGTACAAAGTTTTTTTTTTTTTTTTTAAATATTTATTTTTTAGTTATCGGCAGACACAACATCTTTGTTTGTATGTGGTGCTGAGGATCGAACCCGGGCCGCACGCATGCCAGGCGAGCGCGCTACCGCTTGAGCCACATCCCCAGCCCCTGTACAAAGTTTTTGTGTGGATGTTTTTACTCTCTGTGTAGTAGGAATGGAATTGCTGGTCAAAACGGTAAGTCTGTGCTGAAGATTGCAAAGATGATGGACTTGTGTAGAGTGGGATCATCAAAGCTGAAAATGGAGCCCAGCATCTGAGGTAAGCTGGGGTCAGCCCTAAGCCCTGTCAACATCTGATTGTTTAATTACGCAACAATACAATGAATGACTTATCCACTTGTCTTAGTATATAGTGAAAACAACTGTAGCTAGCAAAAGTAATGTGCCAAATAATGGAATGGTATGGGGAAAGGTATGTTTGGCACACTTTGTTGTTCTGTCTTCCGTGGATCATGGTAGACAAAATGTAATAGAAATAACTGCTCATTAACTTAAAGACATGGAATGAAATCCCTTTCCTTAAAAATCTTAATATAACTGTTTTAGCTATGCTTTAAAAATAAGATCTGGCAGAGATGTCCAGTGTATTACTAGGCATTTTTTATTCTGCTTATAAAAATGGAGAGACCACCTTCTACTTCTCGGGCCAGTAGGGTATGGATGGATGTTATCATACCCAGCCAAAGTGAAAAAAAAAAAAAAAAAAAAAAAAAAGATACAGCACTTAACCCACATAACACAGCAAAACAAAACAAGTGTATAATCATGAGTGAAAATTTGATTCTAAAAGGAAACAGGGTTACAAAACAAACTGAAAATGAAAGCACAATTAAAGAATTAATTAAAGCTCATTAAATAATAATGATGGGGAAGATGGCAGACTAAAGCAAGGGTGCAGGCTTAAATGTAGGAAGAAGGCTTCTCAGTGAGGTGGGTAACTGAAGGATCTCACTGAAAATTAATATTGAACTACACACAAAAAATTTAAGTGTTGCAAAATCAGAAAGGCTAATATAACAAACAGAAAAGCATGAGTGGCAGCACAGTGAACACAGCAACCATGTGGCTGCTGGATAAAGGAAAAAAGGAAGCAGCCAGGAGTGATGGTGCATGCCTGTAATCCTAGCAGCTCAGGAGGCTGAGGAAGGAGGATTGCAAGTTCAAAGCCAGCCTTAGCAACTTAGCAAGGCCCTGAGCAACTTAGAGAGACCCCATTTCAAAATAAAAAATAAAAAGGGTTGGGATATGGCTCAGTGGTTAAGTGCTCCTGGGTTCAATCCCTGGTGCCAAAACAAAACAAAACAAAAAAACAAAACACACACACACACACACAAAAACGGGGGTAGCCTGTGGATTAGAGAGGAAGGCTAAATTTGATAGACACAGAGTCAGTGTTGGTGAATGCAAACTATTTCATGAAACTATTTCTCAAATTATTTACTGAAATTAAAAGGGAAGGAACACTTCCAAATACATTCTATGAAGCTGGTATAACCCTGATTCCCAAACCAAAGACACATTTAGGAAAGAAAACGACAGACTATATCTCTGATAAAAATAGATGCAAAAATCCTCAATAAGATACTAACAAATCACATTCAAAAACATGTTAAGAGAATACACTATAACCATGTGGGCTTTATCCCAGGAATGCAAGGTTGTTGGTTCAAAATATGTAAATCAATAAATGTTACTCACCACTTAAATAGAATCAAGAACAAGAAACATGATCATAGACACAAAGAAAAGGTCTTTGATAAAATACAGCAACCATTCATGTTAAAAACACAGAAACTAGGGATAACAGGATCTTACCTCAACATTATAAAGGCCGTATACGACAAACCCAAAGCAAATATCATACTGAATGGAGAAAAACAGAATTTTCTCTAAAATCAGGAACCAGACAAGGATGTCTGGTGTTACCACTTCTATTCAATATTGTCCTTGAAACTCTAGCCAGGATAATTAGGGAAGAGAAGGAAATTAAAGAAATACAGATAGGAAAAGAAGTCAAACTATCTGATTCCCAGTGACATAATCCTATATCTAGACGACCCCCCAAAATTGAACCAGTGAATTCCTAGAACTGATAAATGAATTTAGCAAAGTAGCAGGATAAAAGACTGATATTCCTAAATCAATAGCTTTTCTATACTCTAATAGCAATTCAGTTCAGAAAGAAATCAGGAAAACCATCCCCTTCACAACATCCTCAAAACCAAAACAAAATTTTAAAAAACCTGAGAATCTAACCAAGGAAATAAAAGATCTCTATAATGGAAACTATAGAACATGGAAGAAAGAAATTGAAGAAGACCTCAGAAGATGGAAAGCCCTCCCATGTTCTTGTACAGGCAGAATTAATATTGACAGAATGACCATACTGTCAAAATCAATATACAGATTCAATGCAATTCCCATCAAAATACCAAAGACATTCTTCACCGAACAAGAAAAAGCAATCTTTAAATTCATTTGGAAAAATCAGAGACCCAGAATAGCCAAAGCAATTCTGAATTAGAAAAGTTGTGCAGGAGTCCTCATAATACCTGATCTCAAATTATACTACAGAGATATAACAAGATAAAAAACATGGGAATAGAAGACACAGAGACTTAGCTACATGCATGCAGTCTTCTGATACTTGACAAAAGTACCAAAAATGTATGTTGGAGAAAAGACAGCCTTTTCAACAAATGGTGCTCGGAAAACTGGATATCTATATGTAGACAAATTAAATTAGACCCCTATCTTTTACACTGCTCAAAAATCAAATCAAAATGCATCCAAAACTTAGGAATTAGACCAGTAAGCTTGCGACTTCTAGAATAAAACAGGGTCACACTCCACTACATAGATGCAGGCACCGACTTCCTCAACAAGACTCCTAAAGCTCAAGAAATAAAACCAAAAATCAGTAAGTGAGATGCCATCAAATTAAAGAGCTTCTGCTCAGCAAAGGAAATGAGAGTGAAGAGTGCACCTACAGAATAGGAGAAAATCTTTGGCAGCTACTCTGAGAGGGGGCTAATATCCAGAATATATAAAGAACTACAAAACAAAACAAAAATCTCCAAATAACCCAATCAATAAGTGGGCAAAAGAACTTAGTAGGAATTTCTCAATAGATGTTTGAAAAAATGTTCCACATGTCTAGCAAATCAAATCAGGGAAATGCAAATCAAAACTACATTAAGATTTCATCTCTTGGGCTGCGGTTGTGGCTCAGCGGTAGAGCATTTGCCTGGCATGTGCGAGGCACCACAGAAAAATAAATAAAATAATGGTATTGTGTCCAACTACAACTAAAAAAAAATAAATATTTTTAAAAAATTTCATCTCATTCCAGTCAGAATGGTAATTATCAGGAATACAAATAGTAATAAATGTTGGTGAGGATGTGGGGGGAAAGGCCCACTCATTCATTGTTGGTGGAACTGCAAATTAGTACAACCACTTTGGAAAGCAGTGTTGAGATTCCTCAAACTAGGAGTGGAACCACCATATGACCCAGCTATCCCACTCTTTGGTATTTATCTAAAAGAACTAAAATTGATATACTATAGCAATACAGTCACTACAATGTTTCTAGCATCACAAATACATAATAGCCAAATTATAAAATCAAACAAGATGCCCATCAGTAGATAAATGGATCAAGAAAATGTGCATATACAATGGAGTTTTCCTCAACCATAAACAGGAATTAGATAATGGCATTTGCTGGTAAATGGATGGAAATGGAGAAAATCATGCTAAGTCGAATAAACCAGACTCAGAAAGTCAAGGACCAAATATTCTTTCTCATATATTGAAGCTAAAGCAAAATTAAGAGAAAGGTGGCTGTGGGGGAGAGGATCATAAATCAAAGATTGAGAGATCAGTGGAGTACAAGTAAAAAGAGGAGAGAGGGAGGGAGGATGAGGAGGCGGGAAAGAAATTTAGAATGAACAGAATCTTGTTATACACATGTACAAGTGTACCAAAGAGAATATTTCCTTTCTATATATATAAAAAGTATCAATCAAAATAAATAATGGCTGGGCACAGTGGCACATGCCTATGATCCCAGCAGCTCAGGAGGCTGAGGCAGGAGGATTGTGAATTCAAAGCCAGTCTCAGCAAAAGCGAGGCACTAACCAACTCAGTGAGACCCTGTTTCTAAATAAAACGCAAAATAGGGCTGGGAATGTGGCTCAGTGGCAAAGTGCCCCTGAGTTCAAT